TATCACAGATGAATTATTTTCGCTAGGCATGACGGGCTTTCCCCACCGAATCAAATGACCTTGTCGACAGAGCAGGATGTCCAGTTGTTGAAGTCTTGCGTCCATATTCGAACCAAAAATGATGTCGATGCCCTTGGGGTATACAGTTTGTATGCTTTGCACAAAGTTGTGATCATGACTGCCAAATACATGTTGTATGCCATACCTTTCGCGAAGTTTGTGGCAATCCTGTTCCGTTTCAGCCGTAGCTAAAACATGAGCACCAATCGCTAGACAGAATTGAATGCATATTTGACCAATTACACTCATTCCTGAGTGTATAAGAACAATCTGATCGGATTTCAGATTTACACGATGTTTCAATGCGTATATAACTGTTAGGCAACTAGTTGACAGAACCGCAATATCTTCATCACTTATATAGTTAAGCACGTTTGGAATACATACAATCTGATGTGTATCGACAGTAATGTGCGAACGAAGTACTTCACCACTGCAAATGCCAACAACGCGGGTGCCTATCGAAAAGTCATATCCAGAAGAAGAACGAATCACGGTACCGACAAAGTCAGAGGTACGTTCCATGTCTTGATCAGCTAAAGTAGGGAGGCTTGGCTGAAGACCAAGCATTTTTAATATATCATAAGCATGTAGGTTGACACTATGAACGCGAACTAAGACAGTACTGACATGACTGTTGTATAATATTCGATCAGGAATCCAGCACAGGTCAGTAAGACAGTGAGATGAAGGCATTTTAAGGCGAAATGGCTGCTGATCTGCATCCTGGTAAGGAACTATGTATAATCTACTTGAGTTCGATTCTGTCATTTCTTTCTTTCGATTCTCTAGTGTTTTATACTGGCATTGTTTGTGTTTAACTACTCCATTATCACTCTCTAGGCATAGAATAGATTCGTCTAGATCATCTGCATTTTGGCATACATAAAGATGATTGACGAGAGCGGTGATGAGAACAGACTTATTAAAAAAACCTGGGGGTGCTTGTAAATCAATCAGTTTCAATCGATGTGATTTGTACTGCATCATCATACTGTGTACAAGCCCTACGAAGGTAGTTGCCGTAACATTGAATTGACAGCTACCAACTGGTTGGGCATGTCTAGTAAGAATGTAAATAAAGGGATAAAATTGAGGTTTTGTTTCTTCGATTACATTGATCATATGTATCAGTGCATTACAGACCACCACTTCATGTTGTGCAAAAATCATATTCCAGCCCTCATCCTCCATCATAGGTTTCAGTGTCCAATTAAAAATTATATGAACTTGGTTGTAATCGCTCATTAGCTGTTTTATAGTGGAAGAAAGGTTTTCAAAATTAGACTGACTATAGTTAACCTGGATTTTATTGTGGGGTAAAAGGGATATTAACGAGTCACTAATCCCATCACAATCACCAGCAGTTAAAATTAGCCAAATTTGATCTTTACGCTCATCGAAAGTCATAAGCATATGATTCGATGCTGATTTTTGAGCAATAATCAACGAAGTACCGAACTGACCAAGTACTGTTTGCATTGTACTAAATCCATCAATTCTCTGAAAGATTTCTTCCCATTGTTTGATGTCGAGAACGGCACGACTGTTTTCGGACGGTGACCACCATTGACGAGACAAACCAAAAATAAGATCGAAATAGTCTGGAACTGAAGTGAATTCAGATAACAAGAGTAAACCATTTGAAGCAAGGATACGACGAAGAAAATAGATGTAATGTACGACGTTTTGTGTATTTTGTGCTAAGTTACCAGTAAAAACTATATCATACCATTCATTTCCGATATCATTAAACAGAGTGGCGTGAGAGAAATCGGGTTTCTCCATGTATTTGATTCGAAATCCATTTTGGTCTTTCATTTTAGCATCAGACATTTTTTGAGTATGTTGTAATCGGATTGGATCTGTATCCATATAATGCAATTCGATATTTAGACCTACTTCATACGATAGATCATACAAGGATTGAATCGTACGATTGATATCGAAATTGTCATTAGCATCAAGCCATAGCACACGTAATCGATATCCTTTAGGGTAACTCTGTCCTTCTCTATCTACTTTTGTTCGAAGATGTAGGACAATCGCGCGAAGAAGAAAATCTGTTGTTTTCCTGAATAACTGCGCATCTAATAATGCCAATGCGTCTTTCATCTTACCGCCATCTGACAAATTATCGGATCCATCATGTATTGCACTCAGGAAAGGCGCGAGACGGTTACCATTTTCAGCCATTATATTCAGTATTAAATTGAATTTGGGATATTGCTCAAGTAATGAGGCGAGGATAAGTTTTGTGGAGCGAAATGTTGCTTGTTCTTGCAGTTCAGAAGCAAGTGAACAACAAACATTTAATAGCATTTTGTTTCTTTCATCTACAACTTTGTTTTTCAACTGTTCGAGAGCTAACTGAGCGTAGCATGCAGCCAAACCGTTAAATTTTGGGATCGATTCATTAAAATCAGGATCGATAGTGAGACTACTCGTGTCCTTGGTAATTATTGCTGGTGATGGCAAAAGATTGGCAATGTTCATTGCACAAGGGATATCTGTCCAGGTCCTTGTGAAACAATATTCACGTTTAATCGCTTTGAGATTTTCAGCAAGACTAGTATGAAGAACTTTAACCGAACTCCTAATTTTCTCGAATACTGATAGCTTGCTTATGTTTGATTCTGGATCAAGGTTAGAAACACCTTGCATTGCTAGCTGTTCGAAGACTAAGTACGGATTTTCAAAAGTCTTATTGTTGGATGCAACAATCAAATCAAACTGATATGTTTCTCTCGTATCAGACTTATAAACTTTGGAGCAAAGGTTTCCATGCACGTAGATTTGTCCATCGAGTGCCAGTGCATTTTTAGAAACTGTGAGTTTTTGTATAGACTTGGGAAGCAAAGTTGCTTGAATGTCAGGTAACAAAAAGAAAAGTGGATGTAGACAAGAATCCAGCGTTGTAGGATGGAGTATCATATATTGCTCAGAATCCGCCGGCTCAACTTTATCATTGTTAATTCGAGCTTTTATCACCGATTTCATACCATGTAAGGTTTCGACCAAACGGAAAGATGATCCATACTGATACCCTGAGTTTGATAAGTGAGCATATATGGCAGACGAAGTATCCGCCGACCAAATTTCGGAAGTACAATTCTTCGGAAATATCGAGGCTGATGCTTTTTCCTTCGTGTTGATCTGAATACGTCCATGAGCATGTAACGTGAATTCATTTAACGAATATCCATTAAGTATGTGCAAATCAGTGAACGAAGGTAGCACGTCAGTGCCGGATAGACCTGATGCACGCATACATTCTTCACCGGGTGATCTCCACGGACGGCTGTATACGAACCATTCACGCAGAGTTGAATTGATTTGTGTAAATATTTCCGTCAATTTTTGTTCTGTAAGTAAGAGATGCCGAAAAAACTCGATATCTTCTAATACGATCTGTGATTGCTCATCATTTTGAAATGGATACAATTGTTGATAGGCAGCTGTGACAAGTTCAAGGAAACAAAGTGAAGGAAAGAGTATAACACCTTGAATTTGATGATCTTTCAAAAAAGCATTTTCTGGAAGATTGATATTAATTAGACCTCTCCATGTTGGAATAGTTTGGCCGATCCATTGGCGAACTCCAAGTAACGGATGCAGTGGAGAACGAGTTGCCAAACGTTCAATAGTTAATTCTCTAGATTCGTACCAGCACGGAACTAGATTGAATGAGTACAATGGAAACGAATCGAATATTTTGGAATGATTTTCTGTAGGTTGAATGTAACGCGTTCGTAAATACTGTTGCCAGACGTCAGGTGCCGAGGTCAATTGAGCGACACTACTCAATATGGTTGTCTGCTCATCTTCTTTTTGTATTAAGGCAGGCAAGGCAATACAGTGCAAATTATTAAGTTCGAAGGATTCACGAATCGACGCAATCAAAGTCGGTTCAGGCGATAGTTCAATGAATGCAGTTGGGATCTTCTCTTGAATAATGTTTGTAATAGCGTCAATGAAATTAATACAATGTTGAACATTATGCAGCCAGAAGTCGACATCCAGTGTCTGGTCTGTAACTTCACTGCCACATGTACTTGAATAGTAGCGAGCTGTGGAACATTGCTCGTTAAAAACTGTTGATAAATCTTTTGGTCGACAACCATTGATGTCTTTGAGTGAAGATTTAAACCATTCTCGATTGCCTGGCGGATCTATATCCTCCAATGAAAGTGTATTTCTAACAGGAGAAATTGAGTGAATAATATTTGGATGGAGCAACGAAAGAATCGTCTGCAATTCGGTGATTGTCTTCTCTTGGCCACATAATGTTACCGAATTAGGAGTATTAACTTCCACAATGCGGACAAGATGCTCATAGTCCTTCATGATAAGTCTTTGAACTTCTTCTTCACTCATAGATATTGTTAAGTTGCGATAGTTTCGATTAATCATAGCATGATCGAAACGTGAGCGATAGTAAACAATCCGCACTGCTTCTGGCAAAGTAATGCGACCAGCTACGTATGCTGCTGCACATTCTCCAAACCCATAGGAGACGATCATCTTCGGGTAAACATTCCAGGAAACGAGGAGGGCAGCTAAAGCAATTTGAACAGCGAATAGAGCAGACTGGCCGATTTCTATTTCTTTAATACGAGATTCCATCTCGTTTTTAGTTTCAACTAGTTCATGCAATAAGCACCATTTTCCATCATTGATTTCAGTAAAGACATTCGAAATCTTATGAATCCAGTAATTGAAGACTGGCTCGCTATTGTATAATTGTTTCCCCATAGCCCACCATTCAGAACCTTGCCCGCTAAAAACGAAACAAAGTTTGAAAAATTTATGCTTTATCGGACGTTGTGCCAGAAAAAGTCCCGAAACTGTATGTCCGTCCATAAAGGAATTAATTTGTTCTTGCAACTGGTTACGATTAGCAAAAACAAGTATAGCTAAATCAGGATGACTAATCGTGCGCTTGATTAATAATTGTCGAGCGATATCAGCAAAGAGAACCGAATCAGATATATTCTTTGATGATAAAGTTCGTTGGAGCCAATCTTTGAAATTCGCCACTTGCTGTTTGAGAGATTGCTGACTTCTCGCTAGATAGATTATAGTAGATTGCAAGAAAATCTTCGTAAAAGTTAAAAATGCTATTCTTTACTGACATTACGGAATATGTCGTTACTAATAAGGTTTAATAAGATAAAGCTCAAGTTTGTAGAAAATAAGCTCGTTTTCTTTGTCTTACAACTTCATATATAATCTCTGTAATGCTGTTTGATTATTTGATTTAGTTATGTAAACAAAAATGATTTTATCTAAAGCTTACCCGAGAAGATGAAAATAAAATGTTGTCTATTCTCTGAATGGTCTATGTTATCGCATAAACACTTATTATCAGAACCCTGATCAGTTGATATACGATTCGGTTGGTATTCTTCTATAATTGCGTGTGCATTGTTGCCACCCAAGCCAAAAGAATTGACACCAATAAGAACGGGATTCCTGTCGGATAGAGGTGGAAATGGTACAAGATGTTGGACTATTTCTATATGGTAACGATCAGCTTGTATTTTCGGATTGAGTGCTTTAAAGTGCATATTGGGCGAAATAGCTCGATGGTACATACACAGTGCAGTTTTGATAAGGCTAGTAATACCGGATAGTGCTTCTGTGTGCCCGAGATTACTTTTTACAGAGCCTATTCGTAAAGGAGGATCCGATGACGTACGTCTGAAAAATTCTCCTACAGCATTGGTTTCAGTAGGGTCACCTATTGGTGTGCCTGTGCCATGCGCTTCAACGTAGAAGACACGCTTAGGATCTATTCTGGTTCGTTCATAGATGCTTTTCAATAATCTTAGTTGTCCAGTCCCAGATGGAGCGAGAAAGCTTCGCTGGTCTTCGTTTCCATCACTATTACTCGAAACATCACGTAACACACAATAGATACGATCACCATCACGTTCAGCGTCGCTTAAACGTTTCAGAAGAAGAAGTCCAAGTCCTTCCGCTACAAAATTAAATTGTCTATTATGTATCAAAAGATTCGTTCAATAGAAATGTTACCTTTAGCATAGCCATTAGCATCGATACTGAAAGAACGGCTTCTGCCATCAGTCGATATGGCGCCCATTGTCGATCCATGAAGACATGTTTCAGGTGCATACATGGAGTTTGCACCCCCGCACACAGCCAGATCTGCTTCGCGGAGACGAAGAGTTTGTATTGCCAGTTGAACACCTTGAAGGGCTGATGCACAAGCGATATCAAGAGATCGATTTGAACCTTGCAGGTTGAAATGATATGACAGTCGAGATGGCCCGTTGAAACGCAGTGTATTCGATCCTTGAAATCTCGACAGATGTTCAGGTCTCATACGGAAGGTCAAAATATTATGATCCATGGAGAGTTGTGCATAGTGTATAGATGTTTTTGTTCCTTGTATTTTTTCTAATGAGTAACCAGCGTCCTCGAGTAAATGAACAAACTTCAACATCAATAAGCGATGACATGGATCGATACTAGCAGCTGTTTCCTTTGGTAAGTCGAAAAAACCTGAATCAAACATATCCCATTGTGACGCAGAAAGGAAATATCCTCGTTTGAAGAGCTGCTTCGATAGAAGCCCATCGTTATCTTTCTTGAGCATATGAGCGAAGTAAGACATAATATCAGTTCGATCCCGAGGAATGTCACTGCTCACATCTCGACTATGCTCAAGAGCATCCCAAAAATCAACTGGCGAATGAATGTCTCCAGCATATTCGCAAGCGATACCTATTATGGCTATTGGTTCTTCAAGATTCATTGTAGATAACATTTCTTGCTTGATTGGTTGAATAAACAAATGCTCTGCGATATGCTTTTATAAAAAAGTGAAGTTATTAACTTTAAGAAATCTAAAAATATCAACAATCGTGAGGTTAAGTGCAGGAAAATGGTACGCAGTTTCAATTGATCACCCCTTCTTCTCGGCCCTTCAATCTTCTCAATCGTACTTCAGTCTTTTCTCGTAAAGAAACTTAAAAGAAATAGTTGAGTCGGTGACACATTAGAGAAAGTGCGGACCGTGTGGTTTAACATTAGTAAGCGCTTTCATGAGGATAATTCAGAAGTCAATTTAAGAATTTATACTTATCAGTGAGTCACTGTAGCGTCAGGTTCATTAAGCAAATGACTGTAATTCAAAACTATGAATACGTTTCGTGAAGTACATTCATCTTTTCCTTTCTTCGGTTTTGATTTTATAACTGGACTACAAAATTTGCAATTGAATATAAAATTATGTTTTGTCAATTTATTAAGTGATCTGCAAAACACGCCTTCGGGTATCTAGGGATAAAAGTGAATTAATTTTTCAAAAATATATAAATTAACGTCGTGTCAATGCTTTTTATAGACAAAAAGTTTTACGAAAATACTATCTGACGAATAATATGCTCTGAAAAAGTTCGGACTTTTAAGAATCCATACCCAGCCCACAAAAAAAACCGTTAAAACCGCTGTGTCCCATAGTTTTTCATAATGGGCGTTTTCTAGAAATCATGGTTTCGAGCAGTACTTATCAACTACATGAGTGATTATCACGGTTTTCTATTATCGGTACTAACCACTCCTGTTCATTTAGAAAAAAATGCGGGTGAGTATTTGTTGTAATAACTTTCGATGGGAACAAGGTAAAGGGACGCGGTTCTCATCATTGGAAAGCGGCTAAATCAATTCGTCGATTTATATAAAACTGTTGGAATTTATTTTTCAAATCAATAATGGTTTATGATCATCTTAGAAGAGATGACCATTATTTTATGAAGATAGGACAAATCGTAAACTTTAAGGGGTAGGTGAGAGTCATGAATTCAGGGGTTACAAAACGGTATATATAGGGCTCGACTCAAAATTTTACTGTTTTGGAAGTTCTGTGTATTATATTCAATAATTCCAGACCATTTTACCAGAAATTTTGATAAAGAAACTCGACTTTTTTGCTTTTGCCTTCGTTTCTTCTGAGAAAATCAGATTCGCTCGTAAGAGAGATTCCGTGAAAAAAGATCCCTACTCTGGCATAAAGACATCAGAAAATTTTTTTCTCGATTCTGTTTTTTCCAACGAAAGGTCAAGTTGACTCATACTCAAATAAAAAATATCAAGTGATTTGTTCTAACCATTCAAAAATCGGAGTAAAATCTTTGATTTCGGGACTTTCAGCATTTCTATTTTGACGGTACTTCGAAAACAATCAGTATTTAAGCTCTATCTTATGAATGAATTGACTGTGAGAGCTCGAATTATTTCATTCCCCAAAAATCAGTTTAAGGTGTATCTTTATTCTAGAAAAATCTCGAGATCTAAGACCTGTGCAATCAAGCGTATGGAAAATCCAGGTCGAACAAACCCATACTCGGATCCCATCGGATCCAATATAGGATTTTATCAGATCCTACAGGAATTCGACGGATCCGAAACATGGATTTCCTGGATTTTCTTGAGGGTCATCATAGAAGATAGCTAAAAAGATTGCTCATAAAATTTGCAACAACCGACAGGATTTTTCTAGTCGGATTCCAATGCAATTCCGTTTCCAGGAATCCGATCGAATTTTGTCGGTTGGTCGGATCCGATCAGATTCGATCGGATCCAGCATCGGATTTTTTTACCTGCGAACTGATCAAGACTTTAAACTTCGTACTATTCGGGACGACGGTATTCTGAACTTTTTCCACAGTCGGCGCAAGGACTTTTATACAAAGGAAGTTAAACCTCCAAAGCGCTGTATTTTTGCAAGATAATCATTAGTTTTCTACGAAAGTTTTAAAAAATATAAGAGGCTCAGTCTTCACTGGGTGCCGCCACTGCATTTTTCTCTTCCAAAATGAATCGCCTAAACTTCTTTTTCCACCCGAGATATATCTTTTGATATATACTCCTGGAAATGAAAAGCTACATTCAGTATTTTGCGTTTTTCGTCATCATAAAAAGATACTTTCTAAAAAACCAATACTACATTCTCAAAGCCAGAAGAATTTTCTATCACTCTATATAATTCTATTTTATTTCATACTTATATATTAGTGAAATAGACTGAGTACAATGAGAGCACTCCCAAGTTCAGAGTCCCATAGCCTCGATTTTTTACTGTCAACAAAGCTGGTTTTAAAAATTTTTGATCGCCATAGAGTTACTCTATAAACAAGGATGATATAGATTCTGATAGAACGCGAAATTCTCTGTCACCCTACATATTTACTTTTCCCTCTGCGTTCATACTTCGTATGAAATTTTAAATATAATGAATATACTCTGAATCGACAAGCACAAAAATATGCAGTTTTTTTTCAATTATTTTTCTTTTCAAAATTATCATTTCAAAAGGATGAATTGTTGCAAATATGTATAAAGATCGATGAAGCGGCGAATCCGCTGTTACTGTGGATACAACGATCGGGTTCCGAATTCGTTTTCAATTATTTAACAAATCAGAACCGCGTCCTTCTCGTTGAATAATATCATAAATTTCACGATATAATTGTAAGATTGAAAAAACAGTTCGAATTGAACAACCAACAGTTGTCATTCTATTTGAAGATACACATTGATCTAGTTTTAACGAAATAATTCATCATAGATCGCCAACTAATACATGACCGCTCATTATTCAAGAAATGGATGAAATAATTAAGCAGAATTCAATCAAAATGTTCTTCATTTAAAAACAAATGGACCTCCTTATCCAACTGGACGTCACAGAACGAGAAAATAATTTTTTAGGTCAAGAAAACAGAGATCGAAAGGAGTGTACGTTACAATTAAATATTTCACATATGAAAAAAGAGCTATTCTTACAATGGAAAATTCAAATTCTCACAAACTTGATGAGAGAATATGTGTACAAAACACGTCTACCAATAGAGGATTCACCGCTCCATCGATCTTTGTACATATTTTGATATAATTCATCCTTTTGCAACGGTAATTTTAAAAAGAAAAAGAACATAAAAAAAACTGCCTATTTTTGTGCTTGCCCATGCACGAACAATTTCTATGGTAAATATTACGAGGGAAGGTGCCCAAGTGTGACGCTCAGCTTTTAACGAGATCTAGTCTAATTTGTATAGCTAGAGGAGCTGATTCTCGTGGTATACTTCGTTTTTCCCACAGAGCTTTATAGAATAATGCTAGTATAATTTCTACATAAAGACAAGGTGATGAATAGAAAACTTAACTAGTGTTGTTAGAAAAAAAGGAGTTAGACTCAAGTTTCAGCGTTTTTCGGTATTTATTCTCACGTGACGGCTAAAAAATATTTGAAAACATATTGATTACTGCACATCAGTTCGTCCTTTCGAGTCCTCAAATGATTTATCCGCTGGGATCCAAAGATCATGAAGTCTTAGATGGAATACCTTCACAAGTTGGCTATTTAACTGTTTATCATTTAAGTTTAAGGTATTGAAAAATAGACGTTCCATAAGTCTCTTGACATATGAAAACAAAATAGTTAAATAGCCAGCTTATGGAGGTATTCTATCTAAAATTTCATAATCTTTGAATTTCAGTGGATAAATTATTTGGGGACTCGAAAGGGCGAACTGATGTGCAGTGATCAATATGTTTTCAAATATTTTTTAGCTGTCATGTGAGAATAAATACTGAAAAACGCTGAAACTCATTTCGAACTCCTTTTTGTCTAACAATACTATTAAAATTTGCTATTCATTNGGGATCTTCTCTTGAATAATGTTTGTAATAGCGTCAATGAAATTAATACAATGTTGAACATTATGCAGCCAGAAGTCGACATCCAGTGTCTGGTCTGTAACTTCACTGCCACATGTACTTGAATAGTAGCGAGCTGTGGAACATTGCTCGTTAAAAACTGTTGATAAATCTTTTGGTCGACAACCATTGATATCTTTGAGTGAAGCTTTAAACCGTTCTCGATTGCCTGACGGATCTATTTCCTCCAATGAAAATGCATTTCTAACAGGAGAAATTGAGTGAAGAATATTTGGATGGAGTATCGAAAGAATCATCTGCAATTCTCTGATTGTCTTTTCTTGACCACATAATGTCACTGAATTAGGAGTATTAACTTCCGCAATGCGGACAAGATGTTCATAGCCCTCCATGATAAGTCTTTGAACATCTTCTTTACTCATAGATATTGTTAAGTTGAGATAGTTTCGATTAATCATAGCATGATCGAAACGTGAGCGATAGTAAACAATCCGTACTGCTTCTGGCAAAGTAATCCGACCAGCTACGTATGCTGCTGCACATTCTCCAAATCCATAGGAGACGATCATCTTCGGGTAAACATTCCAGGAAACGAGGAGGGCAGCTAAAGCAATTTGAACAGCGAATAGAGCAGGTTGACCGATTTCTATTTCTTTAATACGAGATTCCATCTCGTTTTTAGTTTCAACCAGTTCATGCAATAAGCACCATTTTCCATCATTGATTTCAGTAAAGGCATCCGAAATTTTATGAATCCAGTAGTTGAAGATTGGCTCGCTATTGTATAATTGTTTCCCCATAGCCCACCATTCAGAACCTTGCCCACTAAAAACGAAACAAAGTTCGAAAAATTTATGTTTTATTGGGCGTTGTGCCAGAAAAAATCCCGAAAATGTATGCCCGTCCATAAAAGAATTAATTTGTTCTTGCAGCTGGTTACGATTAGCAAAAACAAGTATAGCTAAGTCGGGATGACTAATCGTGCGCTTGATTAACAACTGTCGAGCGATGCCAGCAAAGAGAACCGAATCAGATATATTCTTTGATGATAAAGTTCGTTGAAGCCAATTTTTGAAATTCGCCACTTGCTCTTTGAGAGATTGCTGACTTCTCGCTAGATAAATTATAATAGATTGCAAGAAAATCTTCATAGAAGTTAAAAATGCTATTCTTTACTGAGATTACTGAATATGTTGTTATTCATAAGGTTTAATAAGATAAAGCTCAAGTTTGTAGAAAATAAGCTCGTTTTCTTTGCCTTACAACTTTATATATAATCTATGTAATGTTGTTTGGTTATTTGATTTAGTTATTCAAACAAAAATGATTTTACCTAAAGCTTACCTGAGAAGATGAAAATAAAATGTTGTCTATTCTCTGAAGGATCTATGTTATCGCATAAACACTTATTATCAGAAATCTGATTAGTTGATATAAGATTCGGCTGGTATTCTTCTACAATTGCGTGTGCATTGTTGCCACCCAAGCCAAAAGAATTGACACCAATAAGAACAGGATTCCTATCGGATAGAGGTGGGAATGGCACAAGATGCTGGACTATTTCTATATGGTAACGATCAGCTTGTATTTTTGCATTAAGTGCTTTAAAGTGCATATTGGGCGAAATAGCTCGATGGTACATACATAGTGCAGTTTTGATAAGGCTAGTAATACCAGATAGTGCTTCTGTGTGCCCGAGGTTACTTTTTACAGAGCCTACCCGTAAAGGAGGATCCGATGACGTACGTTTGAAAAATTCTCCTACAGCATTGGTTTCAGTAGGATCACCTATTGGTGTGCCTGTGCCATGCGCTTCGACGTAGAAGACACACTTAGGGTCTATTCTGGTTCGTTCATAGATGCTTTTCAATAATCTTAGTTGTCCAGTCCCAGATGGAGCGAGAAAACTTCGCTGATCTTCGTTTCCATCACTATTACTCGAAACATCACGCAACACACAATAGATACGATCACCATCACGTTCAGCATCGCTCAAACGTTTGAGAAGAAGAAGTCCAAGTCCTGCCGCTACAAAATTCAATTGTCTATTTTATATCAAAAGATTCGTTCAACAGAAATGTTACCTTTAGCATAGCCATTAGCATCGATACTGAAAGAACGGCTTTTGCCATCAGTCGATATGGCGCCCATTGTCGATCCATGAAGACATGTTTCAGGTGTATACATAGAGTTNTAACATCTCGACTTTGCTCAAGAGCATCCCAAAAATCAACTGGTGAATGAATGTCTCCAGCATATTCGCAAGCGATACCTATTATGGCTATTGGTTCTTCAAGATTCATTGTAGATAACATTTTTTGCTTGGTTAGCTGAATAAACAAATGCTTGGCGATATTCTTATATGAGAAAAGTGAAGTTATTAAATTGGAGAAATCTAAAAATATCAACAACCATGAACTTAAGCTCAGAAAAAATGCCACGTAGGTTCAGTCGACTAACTCCTCTTCTCTGCCCTTCAATCTTCTCAATAGTATTTCAGTCTTTTCTCTTAAAGAAATCTAAAAGAAATAGTTGAGTCGGTGACACATTACAGAAAGTGTGGACCGTGTGGTTTAACATTAGTAAGCGCTCTCATGAGGATAATTCAAAATTCAACTTAAGAACTTATACTTATCAGTGAGTCACTGTAGCGTCAGGTTCATTAAGCAAATGACTGTAATTTAAAAGTATGCATACGTTCCGTAAAGTGCATCGATCTTTTCCTTTCTTTGGTTTTGATTTTATAACTGGGCTACAAAATTTGCAATTAAATATAAAAGTATGTTTTGCCAATTTACTAAGTGATTTGTGAAACACGCCTTCGGGTAACTAGGGATAAAAGTTAATTCATTTTTCAAAAATATATAAACTAACATCATGTCAATGCTTTTTATGGACAAAAAGTTTCACGAAAACGCTATCTGACGAATAATATGCTTTGAAAAAGTTCGGACTTTTAAGAATCCATACCCAGTCCACAAAAAAACGTTAAAACCGCTGGGTCCCGTAGTTTTTCATGATGGGCGTTTTCTACAAATCGTGGTTTCGAGCAGTACTTAACAACTGCAAGAGTGATAACCACGGCTTTCTATTATCGTTACTAACCACTACTGTTCACTTAGAAAAATAATGCGCGTGAGTATTTGTTTCAATAACTTTCGATGGGAACAAGGTGGAGAGACGCAGTTTTCATCACTGGAAAGCGGCTAAATGAACTCGTCGATGCATATAAAACTATTGGAATTTTTTTTTCAAATCGATAATGATTTATGATCATCATAGAAGAGATCACGATTATTTTATGAAGATAGGACAAATCGTAAACTTTAAGGGGTAGGTGAGAGTCATGACTTCAGGGGTTAAAAAACTGTATATATAGGGACCGACTCAAAGTTTTACTGTTTTGGAAGTTCTGTGTATTATATTCAATAATTCCACAACATTTTACCAGCAATTTTGGTAAGGAAACTCTATTTTTTTGCTTTTGTTTTCGTTTCTTCTGAGAAAATCAGATTTGTTCTTGAGAGAGACTCCGTGAAAGAAGATCCCTACTTTGGCATAAAGACATCAGACAATTTTTTTGTTTCGATTCTGTTTTCTGTTCAAACGAAGGGTCTAGTTGACTCATACTCATATAAAAAAATCAAGTAATCTGTTCTAACCGTCCAAAAATCGGAGTAAAATCCTTGATTTCGAGACTTTTAGCATTTGTATTCTGACGACACTTCGAGAACAATCGGTATTTAGGCTCTATCTTATCACTAAATTAACTGTGAGAGTTCGAAATATTTCATTCGGTAAAGAACAGTTTAAGGTGTATCTTTATTCTACAAAAAACTAGAGATCTAAGATTTATGAAATCATGCGGATCGAAAACTGATTAGAGCCTTAAACTTCGTACTATTCGATACGACGGTATTCTGAACTTTTTTTCTAGAGGCGATACTAGGATTTTTATTTACAGGGAGGTTAAGCTTCCAAAACGCTATATTTTCGCAAAAAAATCATTAGTTTTCTACGAAAACTTTAAAAAATCTAAGGGACTCAGCCCTTACCAGTCCTCAGTTGGTGCCGCCACTGCTTTTTCCTCTTCCAAAATGAGTCACCTGAACTTCTTTTTCCACCAGAGATATGTCTTTTTAATATACATACTCCTGGAAATGAAAAGCTACAGCCAGTATTTTGCGTTTTTTGTTATTATGAAAGATATTTTTTAAAACCAATACCATATTCTGAAAGCTCGAAGAGTTTTCTATCACTATGTAATTCGATTTTATTTCATACTTATATGTTAGTAAAATAAACTGAGCACTATGAGAGCACTCCCAAGCAGTGGCGTAGCCAGGGGTGGCAAATTGACAATTGCCCACTAAACTCTCACTCTTTTCAAATTTTAACTCTCAGGAATTATTTTCGTATATACGTGATGATGTTGTATTTCGTGGTCAACAGCATGATGCGCTAATGACAAATCTTGAGACATGTGTGGCTAAAAGAAAACACGAAAAGTTCATCAAGAGTCTCCTTAGAATTTCATCACCTTTTTCTACATTCATTATCAAATTCTTCTTCTGTCAGCTTTAGCTATTTTCAGAATTTTGTTTAGCTATGAAGTTCTTACTCACTGACAAAAACTTTGCCTCTTCTTGCCCAATGGTTTTGCCGAAATTGGCTATTTTTTGCCCACTGGGCCGAAAATCTTGGTTACGCCACTGCTCCCAAGTCCAGATTTCCACAGACTTGAGTTTTTTACCGTCAACAAAGCTAGTTATAAAAACTTTTGATCGCCATAGATTTACTTTAAAAACAAGGAAGATATAGATTCTCATAGAACGCAAAATTCTCTATCACCCTACGCATTTACTTTCCCCATTGCATTTATACTTTGTATGAAATTTCAAATATGATGACAATACTCGGAATCGACAAGCACAAAAATACGCAGTTTGTTTCCATTTATTTTTCTTCTCAAAATTATCAATGCAAAAGGATGAATTATAGAAAATATGTATAGAGATCGACAGAGCGGTGAATCCCCTATTACTGTAAATACAACGATCGGGCTCCGAATTCGATTTCGATTATTCGATAACATCATTAGTTTCGTGATATAATTGAAAGATTAAAAAAAACATTTCGAATTGAACAACCAACAACAGTTGCTATTATGTTTAGAGATACACATTGATCTAATCTTAACGAAATAATTCGTCATCGATCTCCAACTGGCAAATGACCGCTCATTATTCAAGAAATGGGTGAAATAATTAAGCAAAATTCAATCAAAGGGTGCTTCCTTTAAAAACAAATGCACCCCCTATACAACTGGGCGCCACAGAACGAGAAAAATATTCTTTCAGGTCAAGAAAATCGAAATCGAGAGGAGTTTACGTTACAATTATATATTCCACATGTGAACAAAAAAATAGTTGTTCCTCGCAATGGAAAACTCAAATTGTCAAAAGCTTGATGAGAGGATATGTGTACAAAACACGTCTACTAATAGAGGACTCACCACTCCATCGATTTTTGTATATATTTTGCTATAATTTATCCCTTTGCAATGATAATTTTAAAAAGAAAAAAAAACAAATGAGAAAAAATGACATATATTTGTTCTTCCCCATTTACGAAAAATTTTCATGAGAAGCATTACGAGGGAAGGTCCCCAAGTGTGACGCTCATCTTTTAACGAAATATAGCCTACTTTGTAGAGCTTGAGGAACTGATGCTCGTGATACACTTCATCTTTTCCCATAGAGCTTTATAGAAGGAGGCTAGTATAATTTCTACATAAAGACAATGCAATGAATGGAAAACTTAAATAGTGTTGTTAGAGAAAAAGGAGTTAGAAATAAGCTTCAGCGTTTTTTGCTATTTATTCTAACATGGTAGTTAAAAAATATTTGAAAACATTTTGATTACTGCATATCAGCTCGCCCTTTCGGGCCCTCAAATAATTTATTCACTGGAATCCAAAGATCATGAAGTTATAGATGGAATACCTTCACAAGTTGGTTATTTAACTGTTCATCATTTAAGTCTAAGGTATTGTGAAATAGACGTTCCATAAGACTCTTGCCATATGAAAACAAAACAGTTAAATAACCAACTTGTGGACGTATTCCATCTATAACTTCATGATCTTTGGATCCCAGTGAATAAATTGTTTGAGGGCCCGAAAGGGCGAGCTGATATGCATCAGCTCTTCGAGTTCTACAAAGCAGGCTATATTTCGTTAAAAGATGAGCGTCACACTTGGGGACCTTCCCTCGTAATGTTTCTCATGAAAATTGTTATCATTCTTATGATTCTTCACTTTTCGTCCGAGATGTATGTATATAAGTAAACGACCCATAGGATGTTTTTCATACTAGTATATATTTATCCACTTATCCTGCACCTTTTTCTTGTGATAGATTGAACTTTGAATGATAATAGAGTAGCTTATAGTGACATGTCGAAATTTTTCATTTCTGACTCGGATATCTTTTCTTCTTTCGAAAGTATTATTTTTCTTACCGATCAGACAGCTGTATGAGTCTCCCATACTTGAACGTATGAATACGTGGTCGGTTGCTCTTCAAGTACACAAACCAGTGAGCGCGATTGTAAATTAATTGGCAACTTTCGTTCACGGTAACAATAGCTACTACCATTTGCAGTGGGAAGTCTACGATCACGCAAGGTGCCGCACAGCCCATCAGCCCCGAACTCCCTTCCCACCCATACGCAAATTTTTGGGCCCCTTATCCGCCGAATGCTAGTTCAAGATAATCGAAGGGACTCAGAGCGAAAAACGAAGTCGATCTATATAAGTTTCAGAGAATTGGAAGATAAGTCATTTTTCGATGGAAAGTGGACTATGTTCTCCTTCAGGCATGGGTGAAAAATACCTTTCTCTAAAAGTAGTATTTGATGACTGAGTTCTCATTCAATGTCATCATAGATTACAACGAAATGGGCAATGCTTTAATTTAGATGATGAATTCTGTTATTTTCTAAGAAATCACCGTTCGACCGGCAGACGTTCAAAAAGAAACATATGAGCTTTCGAGGCACCTGGGCCTTGTTGAATTCTATCTGGTCGGGGACTTCAGTTAAAAAATAGTATCAGCTACTTTTTACCATGTACAAAAGTTACCGACTAATCGACTATCGCGCTCAGTAGGTTGTGTAATTGACGAGCAACTGATCGCATACTCACACATTCAAGTGTGGAAGAGGAAAGGAAGGTCTCGCCCTGCGATCACACGAGATGCCAGTAATAGATAAAACACATAACTTTTTTGGCTCAATTTTGCGAGCGGAGTTCAAGCGCGATATTAGTTTTTTGATAAAGAAAATTTTTTGATGCTCCCTGGCGTGTTGATATTTAAGACAATATTAGTTGAGTATCTTTATCAGCGAAAAAATAGGCCTATTGCCATAATTAAGGCAGAAAAACTAGTTGGATGTCGTTAATAGGGCGAAAAAATAGATGAATGTGGTTATTATGAAAGTGATGCATAATAACGACAGCAAGACATCATGATCGCAGACCGATGATTTCTTCACGAAAACATATGAGAAGGAACTGGAATACAACATTCGAAAGAGCATTATTGAAAGATTCATCATATATTAAGTTTCTTTTAACTCGGATGTAAAAGTGATCAACGCGAATAAAAACAAAGTAAGCTTTCGTATTATTATGATTATCAAGGACAAGTACTGCACTTCGGTGTAATTTTAAAGTATTTTGAACTACTTACACTCACTCTTCGTGTACGGTAAGCTACTTTTAGCTATTTTAACCTACTTAATCATTCTTTAAACCACGTTTCTACTTCAATTCTATCTTTTGCTCCTTAGTTCTTACCTATGTAATATATGATTAGCGTAGCATACAGAAAGGATTTGATATTATTTAACACTTTTACTGACTAGATATTTTGATATTATCCGACATGTCACTGACAACTTCAAACACAAATATGCTTAAAAAAATTGGTTCCCATCAAGAGTCACATACAAATGGCGTAGTACCTTGCGAAAATGATCAACACAACGTATTAGAACCAATCATTATTGAGGGTAAACTTCTCACTTTAGAACAATTAGTACAAATTGTTCGTAATCATCGTAACGTGGAATTGTCTGATGACGCTGATATTTGTAATCGGATGGAAAAATCTGTCGCTATTATTGCAGACGTTGTCAATACTTCACAACCTCTTTATGGAGTCACAAGTTTATTTGGCGGTCTTGCAAATCGACTTGTGTGTAGCGAACTTGCTGAAGAGTTACAGAATAATCTGGTACGTGCCCACAAAACCGGCTGTGGTTCAACTATCCCATTAGAGACGATAAGAGCCGCCATGATCCTGCGAGCTAATGCCCATTTTATCGGTGCTTCAGGTATTCGTCGACTGTGGGATGAGCGTCTCGTACGATTTGTACGTGAGGGCGTTACTCCATTGGTGCCAGAGTTCGGTTCGATAGGAGCATCCGGTGATCTTATTCCACTATCTTATATTGCTTCAGCCATCTCTGGACAAGATGAAACACTACGTGTTGACTTTCGTGGTGAAGTCATGAGTGCACCAGAGGCCCTAACTAAGCTTGGATACGAAACTAAAAGATATAATGCAAAAGAAGGATTAGCTATGTTAAATGGTACTAGCGTTATGACAGCATCCGCTTCCTTAGCATGCCACGATCTGTATACACTTATGGCGGCGATTATTCATGTTCATGCAATGACCCTTCAAGCGCTTGCTGCTAGTAATCAACCATTTCACCCATTTTTGCAGAAGATCAAAGGTCATCAAGGCCAGGTAGTTTAAGATAATTTTTACGAAAATTCTATAAGTATCCATTGCAAACGAGTAGTAAATATGTTTCGTCAATTTTTATTATTGTGTCATCGTTAACTTCATAGTGCTCTCTTTTCGAAAGATTTCATGAAATTCCGTTGTATTTAATCAATATATAAAATGTGTGGCTGCCGGAAATACGTGCGTATCTTTCATCGGGTTCGTATTTCAGCGCGGTTAAATGAAAAATGCCTCAATTCTTGTATTGCAATATGCACCGTGAAGTACTCTATAAAAATAAGCACAACAAATCTCTAATAATATGTATCAGTGATGTTTTTTTTTCTATAAGCAAAATAGAACACTTGTATCTTATCTTATTTTTCTTCATACTACCAATGAGATAATAAGAGAGTCCACAGTTTGCACTTGAATTTTCACTCACCTCATTATCTGTTTCAACGAAAAAACGCATAACAGCCACGCGTCTCAGATTATTCCACTGCTTAAGTAAGACTGTTTTTGTTTATTCGGTTTTATGCTATTATGATGCAAATAAACTGAACAAGTATATCTAACTGGAATGCGTGTCAAAGAGGTTTAAACTTTGCCATCCATGATTATTATTGATGCGACTAGTCACTTAGCAAATACGATAGAGAATTTCTTGAGCAAAAGTAGACGATCTTGTTCGCAAAATCAAAATTTTATTGTTAAGATTTGCTGTAATGCGTTTTTTCTTTGGAACAGATTATGAGGTGACTGAAAATTCAAGTGCGAACTGTGGACTCTCTTACTATCTCGTTGGTAGTATGAAGAGAAATAACATAAGATACGAGTGTTCTATTTTGCTTATAGAAAAAAACATCATTGATACATATTATTAGAGATTCGTTGTGATTGTTTTTATAGAGCACTTCACGGCGCACCTTTCAATACAAGAATTGAGGCATATTCCATTTAATCGCACTAAAATACGAACCAAATAAAAGATATGCAAGTATTTGCGCGTACCCGATAGTATCTGAATTTTGGTCCAAATCATGCTTTCAGTTAATAAATTACTTTATGAATTTAATGACACAAAAGTGTTGCAATTATTTGAAATTCATTTCTGAAATATTGTGTAGAAGAGGTTGCTTTTGACGAATTTTTCTGAGTAAGGAAACATAATTCAAGTAACTTGTTTGACATTCAATATCTCTAAGAAAAAATTACATGTACTCTCTGTATACATATCAGATCGATGTAGCAGCTCTGCTACTTGATTTAACTGATGGCTCGAAAATGATGTATGATGCACTCGATGGCAAATTAACCAAGCGAAGTGTAGAAGCTCTAATTCAAGATCGATATTCTTTACGATGTTGTCCACAATTCCTTGGTCCCATGGTCGAAACAATGCATGATATTGCTCGTATCATCGAAATCGAAATGAATTCTGCGAATGATAATCCGTTAGTTGATACTGATACCGGTAAAGTTTACTGTAAGTAACATTAAATTGCATTTTTGTGCAGTAATACGAAATATGAAAACTTCAATTGAGTTGTTATGTATATGGAAGAGAAAGAGAATTAGGTGTGCCAAGCGTATTAAAAAAGCATGTATGATGAGCAGATCACCTTGTAAGCGTGTCCCACTCTTTTATACATATTTTTGCTCAAAGAAAAATAGACAAGCAGACGTCGATCATTTCGGTGGACAAAATTTGCGAGAATGCGCTAAAACCCAACCCTTATTTGACGATATCTTACCGTTTTCTAACTGGATTGAAACACCAAAGGGGGGGATATGAGAAAAAGATGAAATCAGGATGAGAGCGTAGACCTAGGATTCTGATGAAAATCGAAAACTCGTATTTTTTCGTAGCTCATATTATAAGAACTGTGAAAAATCAGAAAGCGGCACCTTTTATTGGTTTTGGACACTTGCCTAAATGGAAAAAGATTGATCTAGTTTAGTTCCCAGTCAGTGCCCTTGTAGAGAAGGTTTTTGAAACACACATTTATATACATCAGTACATGTTCTAGAATGAGCACTTCTATAGTGTTAAAACGTTGTTCCCAACATGTGATTTATTACCATACGTAGCTCCTATTTGGGAACACAGGCTGGTATGTGTAAGCGCTTGTTTTAAAAACCTTGTCTGCTACCATATACAATGGGATCCAAGTTTCATATATGGTGGCAGTCATATTCAGACACCAGATTAAAAACAAATATCGGTAAACGGTGTTGAAATTCTACTAGAGAAATATAAGAAATCTTTATCAAATCTGGTTGATTCATGCCGTACGAAACTAAAATGAAATGGTTTGTGACTTATATCAGATTCATACAATATATCACGATAAACTTAGCACTTCAAAAATAATTTTGTTGCTATAAGGAAAAAATCTATTGGCAGAGAAATCAATAGAATCTTGTGTGAATTGGCAACGAGTCACAAATTCCTATAGTTTTTAAAGGAAGGTAGCTCATAAAAAAGTAAAACACGCTCATCAATTGATCTAATGACCTTTTAAAAGTATGCAAAATGTAGATATCAACAATTTTTACCAGACTTTCGTATATTATATAGGTGGTGGTAATTTTCTTGGTGAACACGTCGCTATAGCCATGGATCGACTTAGACAAACTGTTGGTCTTTTAGGCAAACACTTAGACGTACAAATTGCTCAACTAGTTACTCCGGAATTCAGTAATGGCCTTTCCGGCTGTCTTGTTGGTAATCGTGCTCGGCAAGTAAATATTGGTGTAAAAGCTCTTCAACTCACTGGAAATTCCATCATGCCATATCTACTTTTTCTGGGTACATCAATGGCAGACAAGTTCCCGACACACGCTGAGCAATATAACCAAAATATTAATTCAATGGGTCATATGTCTGCATGTCTCGCCCGACAGTCGATTTTTGTTTTAACTCAACATATCAGTATTTGTCTTCTAATTTGCGTCCAAGCACTTGACTTACGAGCTAATTTGATTCAAGAGGAACAGACTGGCTATGATGCTCGTCCACTGTTATCCGATAAAAGTCGACAACTGTATGAAGCAATCAGGTCAGTCATCAATGTGCCCATTAGTAAAGATCGTCCATATATTTGGGACGATGGTGAATATGCATATGATGAGCAAATCGCTTCTGTAACCACTGCCCTTACTACCAATCAAAATGGTCCACTACACAAAGCGTTAGAATCTACCATTGATTGGCTCCGTTCAAAGCGATACTCCAATCAAACTCCGTAAAAATGAAACTAACTGGTCGACCAGATTAAATGACGGCCTCGGTGTTCTGCACTTTTTCCATCTATAATTCTATACAAACAAAAACGTTTTTTATAGAAAGATCCTTCACAAATTCATGTTTAAATAGACATTTCTACTAGGGTATTTTGCTAATAGTCATAACCAGCTTTGAATTTGTTTTTCAGTTCTCATCGGATAGCTATATAATCCAAAATTCAAAACAAACTAAAATTAGTAAAAATAACTAATAATAAAGCACTTAAAATGGATGGGTGTTGTAGTAGCGTAAATGAAATGGTATAGATGCTTGTGTAAGTCTTGTTATATTTGTATAATTATAAATATTCAAATTGGGAGGATAGTAATGGCGCTTACTAGTTTCGTCACTCATATAGCTGATGAACATGATTGAAGATGTACACTGTATTTACACCCTTGGTGTAAAATGAATTATGAAGTCTACTACATTGTTTTACTTCTATGAGTACGCATGCATTGTATATACTACGAAGAAGTTTAATTAAACTTTTTCATTTGGGCGCCTAGTTTTGTTGTGATAAAGTATTATTTCGTTGCAAAATCCTGAGACTGAGTAAAGGCTGTCGTGACGCGCTTCGATCCAGCTACTCTGTAGAAAAATAAGCGTATAGTACGGAAATCTCCTCTTTTCCGTGACCTCTCACAAACCTTCAAAGGACTTATAGACGATTCATATACGAAAAAATCGTCTATTTGATCGAAGGTTTTTTTAAGTGAGCCGTTTTCTAGGATATGTAGGGTTGTTGTTCATTTTATCTTCAGACTAACGGTACTTCATCTGCGAAAGAAGGTACAAGGATCCACGATTCCGAGAAAATCATTTTTGCAGATGGAGTGTAGCGGACAATGATACACGATCCTATTAGGAAAGTTTCTGCAAATACGATATAGAGAACTTTAATACATGACTTTACCAAAAGAGTTTTTGGTATCGCGAACGAGGAAATATTAATGCACTATTTCATGAAAAAGGTTTTGCAAACTCTGCCGCGAATATTGTAGTCTACGATTCTACTGGATGAGTTTTTCAAATACGGCCGAGTAAATAATTTCTCCACGACTTCACCTAAAAGTCTTTTTCTACTACAGTTACGGGAAGATTAGTCCACGGACCAATCAAAATGGTTTTCACGAATACGGTGGAACGAATACTATTGTACTACTCTGTCATCAATAGGGTTTTTGGAAGGATACTTCGGGGTATTGTAATCTATGGCCTCGCAGAAAGAATTCTTATTAATACAAAAGAAGAAATGTTGATCCACGGCTCGATCAACAACGCTTTCGTTGCTGCTATGATATGAAATATCATGCCACCTACACATCTTTTATTTTCTTTCGTCGTTTCTTTGTTGTTATTCATATATATGTTTGGTTAAATAAAAGAAAACGCAGTTACACTTAACTGAATATGGAACACATGTCCCTCTCTTTCTATTCTAGTGATTCAAGGTGTAACAGTGTTGACAGCGATCTGAAAAAGAAGATGGGCTTTTTTCCTACTTCTTCGACTATTAATCGACGGCCTATTATCACATAACAAGGGATCTTTCTTCTAAGAAATCGATCCTATCTGTATAATCATCAATAGGAAAGATGTTAATCATCATTATGGATAACAACGAATTAAATTGAGCGGAACAAGGTGAACGAAAGTTAACGCAATCTTTACATATAAAGCCACTGCAACCAAAAAATGCTATGAATGAATCAATACGCCGACATGTCCAACGTATAGCTGAAGGTGGAACACCTGCTATGACCAAATGGTTAGCTTAGGAGTGGCACTTTACCTTTACTTTCCTAAGGTAAATGAATCAGAACATTTGTTGATTTCCTCTAGATAAAAATATCATACATTCAGTCACTCGAAAATGTTATGGGTGGTATCTCTTTTTTCTAAAAATACACCTTTGGAAACTTTTCTTTTGGAATTAGCAACGTTCTTCTATCATAGTTTCTTGTCAAGCATAGAGTGATTTTTGCACTGCTAATATTTAGCTACTAGAGATAATATTTTTAAACTCTTTTATGTATCAAACGTTTTGAATAATGGCGCTCTCCATTGCACAAGATAGAACTGAGAAAAAGAGCATTCCCTGTCCAAACAGGTATGTTGAACCAATCGGGGCGGAAAGAAAATTCAATATATCTTCCGTGTCAAAGCATATAAATCATCGACACCAAAATGTTACTACTATCTAATCTTCGTCTTCCTGATGGAAACAGATCAAACTGAGGGAAAAGAGCAGATTTCATAAACAAACATCTATGAGAGTCAACAGCAATTACTAGATATTACTAAAGTTCCTCAGAATTGCTACAAATAACTTCTGTCGTAACAGAAATGCTAATAGATTATTAATTCATTTGTATTAGTCAAATAAATAGCTTGCACGTGAAGAGTATGCTGGGTATTTATTGTTATGTTGAGATTATTTAAGTTCTGAAGTGGATAAATTGTTACCCACACAGATAATGATGTAGACAGATCTAGAAAGAGAAGAAGTATATTGAATTCATCTTTTATTAATTTTTACAAGTACGGAAGAAATTGGGAAAACAATTGTGGAAGATCGAGATTGCTTGGTTTTATTTGGAAGAAATAGGAAAAAAGAATGACAAATGATAAAGGTATGAAGTATGGGTGTTTATATTTTTGCTTTCTCACTCCATTTCCGGGGTCTTTTATTGGTTTTTAATCATGCGTTTGTGGTAAACCACGTCGCTGGCATTCTGTTTTTGATATAACTTGCACGTTTAATCATGTGTAGCCGACGATTCTTAATGCCATCGAATATCATCTTCTATTATACAAATGTTTCTTCTATATGTCTATTCTTTAAAAGAAATTATTCTCTTCGTTTTGCACAGTTGTATTCATGTTCTGGTTTTTTTCTATGATTGGTAAGAATGGTTTGAGTAAACTCACACATATTTAAATTCCTGATAATTCGTATGTAATACCTGATATAATATTGGACAAGTTTTCTATCAATATAGAAAAGTACCATACTTTAAACGAAATTAGTTGACTACAAAACTCATTGAGAAAGTTTCGTTGATACTGAATAGCTTCCAAATGCATCGAGATGCCGAATAACATGATTTCCAAAATGCGCGAAAACTAAGAAGAATCTGACCGCGAATACACACATCGCACTACTATCGAAGAAACCTTTCAAACTCTGTACAATAAAAAACGGTTTTGTATTTAACTACGGTGAAGAATCCTAGGGTTTCGTATTATCTGACGAAACCTGTTTTTGCTGTACAGATCTGAAAAAGTTTTCGTAGATAATGGTCTGGAGTGTGTACTCGCCGTCAGATTCTTTTCAACTTTCGGCAATCTTGAAAATGAGTTTTTCGGTATATTGAAATATTTGGAAGCCATTTGACACCGAAGAAACCTTTTCAATGGATTCAGTAGTAATCTAAGTTTTTTTTACAGTGCAGAATTCTGTGTAGGGTGGGATGAAGGATACAACGGTGATCATTCACTGGCCATCGGTCCATTGATTCACCGTAGGTACGATGTCACGGGTAAACGGTGTCGCCGGTGAATTCATTCAAACAGAGACACTTTATGCAGACATAGTCTGCCTATTGAAGCCTGTATAGTTTTATATGCTGACTTTGCCTGGTCATTAAAAAAATTGTCAAATTGACATTAGAAATTTAAGCCAAGACGCAAAGAGAAATGAAATGACTAAATATAAGTTTATTTGTTGAACATACTATGCTTCATTAGAAAATAAGTATAAAAGAACTATGGTTTAGAAAAATAATCTGGTTTTAATTCAAGAAAAGCCTGAAAACATGTGACGAAAATAACATCGTTTATATTATCTGGATCAAGCGAAGAACGACGTTCATTGATTTTTGAATCCGGACATGAAAACTATCATTCCACTCCACTTGATGTTACCGAAACTGAAAGCAGACGACGCGCAAATAAAGCTAAATCAGAAAATTTATTTCGATCATCACTGCAAAATGGCAATGGATTTAACTGTTTTTATTTATCTGCTACATTCATTCTCAAATATTTTTCAAATTCCTCATTTTAATTCTTATTGAGGATATTGAACGAACACCATTTCTATCTGTAACGATAATGATATCGTCCATCTCTTTCTGTTCTTTATGCTCTCACTTCTATATCATACTTTCTCCGGGCCATCTCTCCCTTTCCTCTTCTCTATATAAGCGTGTGTCTTACCGTGAAATAGGCACACTCCGGTCATGTAGAGTTGTCAATAAACATCTATACCTTGAGAAGCGGTTAGATAACTCAACGAGTTTGTCGTTACACTATCACCCGTGTCCGAATCAGCAAATCGATTTTTCATAAGTTTATGGCTTTCGTTCAAAGATTCTGAATTTAGCGTAACATTATGTTCACTCAATCCGAATATATAACTTAACTATATTTTTAGAATTTGATGTCACAAATGTCAGTTTTGTGTAAAGTAAGTGTAATAGCGCTGCAGTAAAGCGGTTTTCATCGAAGATAGAGTTAGATTTTAATAGTTGAATCGGACGTTTTCGAAAGAACTTTGCGCCTAATATGAGAACAATTACAAAAATATATATTGCATTCATTATTTTTTATTAAATTCGCGTCGATCATCAATATATATTAATTTATCATCTTGATCAATATTAGTTCGTTTTGCATGGTTCTCAAATTTATTAATGCACATATGGGCTTGTTCGCGTAACGCGACAATTCATACGTTAAGTATTTTGTATAGAGGAAAAAGTTAATCCATACTGCGTAAAACAAAACGTGTCATGCAGATCTTTTTTAGTTTTAGCAGAAAAATGTAGAACATAAAATGGTTTTAGCCAAATGTGCTGAACCAGAACGACAAAAGGTTTTAGCGAGGATCTAAAACCTTTTAGGGTTCACTGTCGTCCGGTTTCCTTTTAGAGAGTAGTGTTATTTTTCTGTATAAAACAAAAGGAACATTCAAAATACATTGTCCGTTATGAATCAATCTGTTCTGTGTCAGACAACAAAAATCATTTTCACTGTCAACTGTAAAATGGCAACAAAACATGCATTAACTTTATCTGAAAATAATATTCTTTATCACACACTTGACAATAGGCTCTCCGATTAGGAAGAGATTGTGGGGGGGGGGGGGGGGGGTTCAGCCCATTCCAAAATAAAATTGTTGTTGTCGATTTTTTCAAATGGTTTTCACGTTTTTCAACGTTTAATTTTAATAAAAAAAAATATATAATTTTCTTTATGTAAAATAATGTTGATTGTGTTAATTTTTAATCAGACGGTTTGTTTATAGGAATAAGACCTTTGGGATTGGTGTTAAAAGTCGAAAAGGATAATGTCGAATAGAAAAATGTCGAAAAGGAAAAGGCAAATAGTATAAAGATCGAAAAAATGGATGCCGAATAGAATAGATATCCAGTGGGAAAGTGTGGAAAGTACAATACCGAAAAGTGTTAGCTTTTAAATTTTATGTTAGAATACAGTACAATGCGTAATTTTATTGGTTGAAAACAATTAGACGACAGAAAAATTAAAAATATCTTATTATCAGTTCATAGGTCCTCCGATCAGCATACTATCACCAGATAGCAACTGTTTGGCATTGATTTCATCGTTGTGCAATCTCATCTTGAGATTGTCGAATCGTTTTTGAAAAGCGGATGATCGAGTTGATTCCTTTGTTGTGGTAGCGCCAGTATCAAGTTGCACTATCAAATGCTCGATTCGGCTATTTTCATTTCGAATTAATTGTATGAAAACCCAGATATTTGGATGTTTTTACTATCCGAGAACCAAACCGACGATTATAAGCTATATAGTAAGAGATATAAAACATAAAATACTTTGAATATTGCGAATAAAATTATCCATTATTTTCGGAAATGTTGTTGGTACAATGATCCAACCCATGAAAGTTCCACATAACTAACGGAACATTTACATTAATCCACTGTCGATGAAAATACACAAATAAGTCATCTAACGATGATGATGCGATATTGCGAAGGCGCTCAAATTGACGTTCGACTTTCCGTATTGGCATCAAACTCAAAGCTATCAGCTGCTGGCATTATTCACGTGTTTCAGCACATTGCGTATAAGCTTTGTTCAACCCAGGGCTTATTATCTTGCGATGAACCGTCTGAATAAAGTGAGGAGATAAATGAATACTCACTTCTTGACTAATAACTGGTATTAAGGCTGCTTCAAATACGGATACAATATCCGATGGTTGAAACCGTATACCCAGTGCTTCAGCTTCATGTTTTAGTCTCTAGAATAATTCAACATATGTTGCTGCACGCCGGTTCGACATCATACAAAATACCACTGGTAACCCTTGGTATAAGTCAACAAAAATCCATTCTAGAAATTTCAATAATTTTACTACCATACCTTGAACAAAATGTTAAACATGTATAAAAAAAAACTTGTTCAAGTCCCAGCACAGCAACTGCAAAAGTGCCTTCCATAAATATAGCTGCACCGTTGAATAAGAGTTGAAGCTGCTGGGTAGTTGCATACACGATCACACGTTCTTTCGAACGTTTCAAATAAAAGTCCGTGAGCAAAAATTGTTTGTTTGACAAAGTCCAGTGATACATATCTGGAATTTCAAACACACACGAAGACAGAATGACGGGCGTTCTTTTTCATCAAGCTTTGCTCATATTTGAATCTAGTAAAGAAAACAAAATTAACCAGAACCTTTTAGTTTTTTTAGTTTGAAAATACGTACGACATTCGACTACAGTGAACAATTGGGCTGCAATTAATTCCGTTAAGCCGGCTTTAGCAAGTTCTTCTTCATAGATTTTTGTAATTGAGGTGGTCTCATCCAAAATACGACTTTTCATTTTCGGTTTTAATATTCGTATTCTGAGTACATCTGGGTGAGCAACGTGATTATGATCACCAATAATTGTTAACATTTCGTCATTCAAATTTTTATGAACGAATACGCCACATGTTGCTTTAGTACATTTAAAAATATAATCACGAAGAGACAATAATCGTTTTCCTTTGATGGATGTTAAAAATGAAATTTCTGTTTCTGCTGATGATAGAGAACCACACGGATTGTTTGTTGTTGATGACATGCTGATATGGATTTGTATTTGAGGATTTTAAAATGAATGTTGAATAGCGAAAACTATTCACTTAAATATTGTGCCAAACAAAGGACTTCTTTGAAAAATTTGACTATAGTCTGCATGATCGAGATGTTTACATAAGTTAAACAATGTTTAGCACATGCAAAGTGATGACTATGTAATCTTTACGCTTAACGAATTAAACTTAACAATGAGACCCAATAGTAAGTTAGAAAGTAAAACAACGACCAGTACAGACATCTTCGATATTTTCTTATTTATCTTTCGGGTCTTGGCAAACATTACTTTCGACATTTCTCGTCAATCTGAAGACCTTTCGATGTCTCTACCAGAAATTTTAAGATCTTCTCTTAAATCATGAATTTATCGATATGGTGCACATATTCAAGACGTAGATTAATCAATTGATATCACATAATATCATCGATGCATTTGTTTCATGACGTTATATGCGTGTCAGCTGGCACGCGTGCCGCGGCACTTCGCTATCATGAATCATTATTACCATGTTGTAGAACGCAGTCGAAAATATTAAAAAGAAATTCATATTCTAATGCGATTTCTTACAGAAAATCGTGAATGATAACTGGAGACAAATATGTCACTAACAGAGGAGGACAAAAGTGCATTTATAGCCTGCTGAATGTGTGCACCTGTACGTTGCACCAGCTTCATCTATCCGAAGTTACTCATTATCAGATAATAATACTCTAACAGAGGTATCTTTACGTCGACCAATTTATTTCATATATCCTGCTATCTGCCTTAACGGTGTTAGTCAAAACTCCTATGTTTGTGACGTCATCGCTTTACGAAAAATCATGTATTTTTCTCTCAGCCAGTACGTATTGTAAGTTCTTTTTCTAGAACTTCAACGCGCACAGCTCACTATCTATGGGCTATCCAATGAAGAAACTTCTATTGAAAAAACGAGTGGCCGTTCGATTAATGCAACATAACGCGATGACGAATTTCGACGTTTCCACCGTTTTTTATTTGTGACATTCAGTTACTTTAGTCATCTCTTTCGATATGAGCAAGGAATAGGCCTGATATTTTTACAATAAACTACTCTCATCGGGATCTCTCTCTGTACAAAATTTAAAATCGAAACTCGAAAATACACTCGTCTGATATCTCTGGGGGCCGGGGGCACGACAACGGGCTATTACAGTGTGTTCAAACACAGTATCTCAACAAAGAAAACTTGAGCATGAATCTTTGTAAGGCATTCGCCTATACTATGAGTCCTGCCTAGAGGTAAATTATGGGCTCAAATAGACGATATGTTTTTGCAGAAGTTCCTCAATGCATGACTCCAGTGCATAAGCTTAATCAAAATGAAAGAAGGGAATCAGTGACACCATATTTCGAACAATGAAACCACCTTATGAGAGAGTGCCCTCCTTGATAAACTAATCTGGTTTCTATCTTAGAATTTGTTTACATTTCCCATCTTAACGCACGACGTGCCAATGAAAAACGGTCATAAACTGAAATGGCTAGAACCTACTATATCAGCCTACTCAAAACAAAGTTTTTAGATAGATTAGTTGCGNTAACAATACCTACTACCATTTGTCGTCGGAAGTCTAGGATCACGTAAGGTGGCGCACAACCCATCAGCTCCGAGCCCCCTTCCCGCCCATACACAAATTTTTAGGCCCCTTATCGGCCGAATGCTAGTTCAAGATAATCCAAAGGACTCAAAATGAATATTATTTTCGGAATCAGCATGAAAAACGGAGTCGATCTATATACACTTCAGAGAATTCGAAGACAAATCATTTTTCCATGGAAAATGGACTCTGTTCTCCTTCAGGGATGGGTGAAAAATATTTTTCTCTAAAAGTAACATTTGATGACTGAGTTCTCATTCAATTTCATTATAGATTACAACAAAATGAACAGTGTTTTAACTTAGATGATGAATTCCGTTATTTTCTGAGAAATCAGTTTTCGACCATGCCTGAAGAGGAACAAAGCCCATTTTTAATGGAAAAATTACTCGTCTCCGAATTCTCTACAATGTATATAGGTCGATTCAGCGTTTCATACTGATTCCGAATATGACATTCGTTTTAAGTCCTTGCGATTATTTTGAATCACTATTCGGTCGACAAGGGTGCAAAAAGTAGCACATGAGACCTCGAGACTCCTGGGCCTTGTCGAACTTCATCTGATCGGAGATTTCAGATAAAAATAGTATCAGTTAATGTTACCGTGTACAAAGATTACCAACTAATCGACTATCGCACTCAGTAGGTAGTGGAATTGAAGAGCAACTGATCGTATAGCCATACGTTCAAGTGTGAAAGAGGAAGGGAGGCCTTGCACTACGATCACGCCAGACGCCAATGATAGATCAAACACATAACTTCTTGGGCCCAATTTTGCGAGCGGAGTTCAGGTGCAATATTAGTTTTTTGATAAAGAAATTTTTTATCCTTTCTGGCATGTCGATATTTAAGGCAATGTTAGTTGAGTATTTTTATCAGAAAAAAAATAGGCCTATTGTCATAATTAAGGCAGAAAAACTAGTTGCGTGTCGTTAATAGGACGAAAAAACAGATGGATGTGGTTATTGTGAAAGTAATACATAATAACGACAGCAAAACGTCATGATCGCAGACCGATGATTTCTTCAAGAAAACATATGAGAGAAGGACCTGGAAATATATTATTCGAAAGAGCGTTATTGAAAGATTCATCATATGTAAAGTTCCTTTTAAATCGGCTGTAAATGAGATCAATGCGAATAAAAACAAAACAAGCTTTCGTATTAGTGTCATTATCAAGGAGAAGTACTGTACTTCGGTGTAATTTTGAAGTACTTTGAATTAATTACACCCACTCTCAATGTACAGTAAGCTACTTTTAACTATTTGAAACTACTTCATCATTCTTTGAACCGCTTTTCTACTTGAAGTCAACATTTTGCTCCTTAGCTCTTGTCTATGTAATATAATATGAGCGTAGCATACAGAAAGGATTTGGTATTGTTTAACACTTTTACTGACTAGATATTTTGATATTATCCGGCATGTTACTGACAACTTCAAACTCAAGTATAATTAAAAAAATTTGCTCTCATCAAGAGTCACATACAAATGGCGTAATACCTTGCGGAAATGATCAACACAACTTATTAGAACCAATTATTATTGAGGGTAAACATCTCACTTTAGAACAATTAGTACAAATTGTTCGTAATCATCGTAACGTGGAATTGTCTGATGACGCTGATATTTGTAATCGAATGGAAAAATCTGTCGCTATTATTGCAGATGTTGTCAATGCTTCACAACCTCTTTATGGAGTCACAAGTTTATTTGGTGGTCTTGGAAATCGACTTGTATGTAGCGAACTTGCTGAAGAGTTACAGAATAATCTGGTACGTGCCCACAAAACCGGCTGTGGTTCAACAATTCCATTAGAGACGATAAGGGCCGCCATNATAAGGAAACATAATTGAAGTAACTTGTTTGATATTCAATATCTCTAACAAAAATTACATGTACTCTCTGTATACATATCAGATCGATGTAGCAGCTCTGCTACTTGATTTAACTGATGGCTCGAAAATGATGTATGATGCACTCGATGGCAAATTAACGAAGCGAAGTGTAGAAGCTCTAATTCAAGATCGATATTCTTTACGATGTTGTCCACAATTTCTTGGTCCTATGGTCGAAACAATGCATGATATTGCTCGTATCATCGAAATCGAAATGAATTCTGCGAATGATAATCCGCTAATTGATACTGATACCGGTAAAGTTTACTGTAAGTAACATTAAATTGTATTTTTCTCTAGTAATACGAAATTTAACGCCTTCCATTGAGTTGTTATGTATATGAAAGAGAAGAGGAATTAAGGATGCGAAGTATATCAAAAAAGCATGTATGATTACCAGAACACCTTGTGAGCGTGTTTCGCTCTTTTGTACATATTCTTTGCTCAACGAAAAATAGACAAGCAGATGTCGATCATTCCAGTGGACAAAACTTGCAAATATGAGCCAGAAGACAACCCTTATTTGACGATTTCTTACCGTTTTCTAACTGGATTGAAACACCAAAGGGGGGAATATCAGAAAAGATGAAATCAGGATGAGAATGTGAGGGTGTAGACCTAAGATTTTGATGAAAATCGAAAACTCGTATTTTTCGTAACTAATATTATAAGAACCGTGAAAAATCGTAAGAAAGGCACCTTTTATTGGTTTTTGGAAACTTTCCTAAATGGAAAAAAGGCTGATCAAATTTAGTTCCTAGTCAGTGCGCTTGTAGAGAAGGTTTTTGAAACACACATTTACATACATCAATAAATGTTCTAGAATGAACACTTCTATAAAGTTAAAACGTTGTTTCCAATATGTGATTTATTACCCTACGTAGCTTCTATTTCGGAACACAAACTGGTATGTGTAAGTGCGTTTTTTAAAAACCTTGTCTACTACCATACACAACGTGATCCAAGTTTCATATACGGTGGCAGTCATATTCAGACACCAGATCGAAAACAAATATCGGTAAACGGTGTTGTAATTCTACTAGAGAAATACAAGAAATCTTCATAAAATCTGGTTGATTCCTGCCGTACGAAACTGACATGAAATGGTTTCTGACTTATGTCAAATTCATACAATATACCACGATAAACTTAGCACTTGAAGAATAATTTTGTTGCTATAAGGAAGAAAGTTCTTTGGTAGAGAAGTCAATAAAATCTTGTGTGAATTTGCAGCGGGTCACAGACTCCTGTATTTTTTTAAGGGAAGGCAGTTCATAAAAAAGTTAAACACGCTCATCAATTGCTCTAATGACCTTTTAAAAGTATGTGATATGCCGACGTCAACAATATTTATAGACAAATTTTACCAGATTTTCTTATATTATATAGGTGGTGGTAATTTTCTTGGTGAACACGTAGCTATAGCCATGGATAGACTTAGACAAACTGTTGGTCTTTTAGCCAAACATTTAGACGTACAGATCGCTCAACTGGTTACTCCGGAGTTCAGTAATGGTCTTTCCGGCTGTCTTGTTGGTAATCGTGCTCGTCAAGTAAATATTGGTGTAAAAGCTCTTCAACTCACTGGAAATTCCATCATGCCCTATCTACTTTTTCTGGGTACATCAATGGCAGACAAGTTCCCGACACACGCTGAGCAATATAATCAAAATATCAATTCAATGGGTCATATGTCTGCATGTCTCGCTCGACAGTCGATTGTTGTTTTAGCTCAACATATTAGTATTTGTCTTCTAATTTGCGTTCAAGCACTTGACTTACGAGCTAATTTGATTCAAGAGGAACAGACCGGCTATGATGCTCGTCCACTCTTATCCGATAAAAGTCGACAACTGTATGAAGCAATCAGGTCAGTCATCAATGTGCCCATTAGTAAAGAGCGTCCATATATTTGGGATGATGGCGAATATGCATATGATGAGCAAATCGCTTCTATAACTGCTGCTCTTACTATCAATCAAAATAGTCAACTACACAAAGCGTTAAAATCTACCATTGATTGGCTCCGTTCAAAGCGATACTCCGATCAAACTCCGTCAAAATGAAACTAACTGGTCGACTAGTTTAAATGACAGTCTCGGTGTTCTGCACTTTTTCCATCTATAATTCTATATAAACATAAACTTTTTTTAATAGAAATATCCTTCACGAGTTTATATGTTCAAATAGACATTTCTACTAGGGCATTTTGCTAATAGTCATAACCAATTTTGAATTTGTTTTTCAGTTCTCATCGGATAGCTATATAATCCAAAATTTAAAACAAACTAAAATTAGTAAAAATAACCAATAATAAAGTACTTTAAACGGATGGATGATATAGTAGAATAAAGGAAACGGTATAGGCGCTTATGTAAGTCTTGTTATATTTGTATAATTGTAAATATTCAATTTGGGAAGATAGTAATGGCGCTTGCTAGTTTTGTCACTGGTATATCTGATGAAAATGATTGAAGATGTACACTGTATTTATACTCTTGGTCGAAAATGAATTATGAATTCTACTACATTGTTTTACTTCTATGAGTACACATGCAGTGCATATATTACGAAAAAGTTTAGATAAACTTTCTCATTTGGACGCGTTTTTTAGTTGTGATAAAGTATTATTTCGTTGAAAAATCCTGAGGCTGAGTAAAGGCTGCCGTGACACGCTTCGATCCAGCTACTCTGTAAAAAAAATAAGCGTATAGTACAGAAATCTTCTCTTTTCAATGACCTCTCACAAACCTTCAAAGAGTTTATGGACGATTCATGTACGAAAAAATCATCTATTTGATCAAATGATTTTTAAGTGAGCCCTTTTCGAAGATATGTAGGGTTTATGTTCATTTTGTTCTCAGACCAACGGTACCTTATCTACGAAAGAAGATGCAAGGATTCACGATTCTGAGGAAATCATTTTTTTACAGATGGGGTGTAATGTACAATGCTGCACGATCGTATTAGAGAAGTTTCTGCAAATACGATATAGGAAGGATTAATACATGGTTTTATCGAAAGGGTTTTTGGAATCGCGAAAGAGGAAATATTAATGCGCGATTTCATGAAAAGGGTTTGAAAACTCTGGGACGAATATTGTAGTCTACGATTCTGTTAGATGAGTTTTTCAAACACGGTCGACCAAAAAATTTCTCCACGACTCCCCCAAAAAGTTTTTTTCTACTACAGTTAAGGGAACATTAATCCACGTTTCTGTCAAAATGGTTTTCATGAATACGGTGGACCGAATATTATTGCACGGCTCTGTCATCAATAGGATTTTTCGAAGCATCATTCGGGAGATTGTAATCTATGACCTTACAGGAAGGATTTTTAGCAATACCAAAGAAGAAATGTTGACTCATGGCTCGATCAACAACGCTTTTGTTACTGTTATGATACGAAATATCATGCCATCTACACGTGTCTTATTTTCTTTCGTGTTTTCTTTGTTATTATTATATATATGTTCGGTTAACTAAAAGAAAAGGCAGCATACCTAACTGAATATCGAACACACGTCCCCCTCTTTCTATCCTAATGATTCAAGGTGTAACAGTGGTGATAGCGGTCTGAAAAAGAAGAGGGGTCTTTTTCTACTTTTTCGACCATTAACTGACGGCCTATTATCACATAACAAGGGATCTTTCTTCTAAGAAGTCGGTCCTATCTGTATAGTCATTAACAGAAAAGATATTAATTGTCATTATAGATAACAACGAATTAAATTCAGTGGAACAAGATGAACAAAAACCAACAGCGAAGCCAATACAATTTTCACATACAGAGTCAGTACAACCAACAAATGCACTGAATGAATCAATACGTCTACATGCCTGACGTTTAGCAGAAGGTGGAACACTTGATATGACTAAATGATTAGCTTAGCGGTGGCAGTTTACCGTTTTTTTTAAAATTTTATTTACCATTTACTTTTGTAAAGTAAATGAAGCAGAGCAATTGTTGCTTTTCATCTAGATCAAAATATCATACATTCAGTCACTCGAAAATATTATGGCTGGTATCTCTTTTTTCTACAAATATACTTTGGAGAATTTTCCTTTAGAATTAGGAACGTTCTTCAATCATAGTTTCTTGTCAAGCATAGAGTGATTTTCGCACTGCTAATATTAGGCTACTAGAGATAATATTTTTTAACTCTTTTATGTATCAAACGTTTTGAATAATGGTGATCTCCATTGTACAAGACAAAACTGAGAAAAAAAAGCATTCCTCGTAAAAATAAACAACAGTATCCCCTGTCCAAACAGGTATGTTGAACCAATCGGGCCGGAAAGAAAATTCAATATCTCCTCCGTGTCAAAGCATATAAATCATCGACACCAAAATGTTACCACTATCTAATCTTCGGTTTCCTGACCGAAAAAGATCAAAGGGCGGAAAAAGAGCAGATTTCATAAACAAGCATCTATGACAGTCAACAGTAAATACTAAGTATTACTAAAGTTCCTCGGAATTGGTACAAATAACTTTTGTCGTAACAGAAATGCTGATAATTTTCTAATGTTTATAGATTATTAATTCATCTGTATTAGTCAAATAAATAGCTTGCACGTGAAGAAGATGTTTGGTATTTATTGTTATGTTGAGATTATTTAAGTTCTGAAGTGGATAAATTGTTACTCACACATTTGGTTACACAGATGATGATGTAGACAGATCTAGAACGAGAAGAAGTATATTGAATTCATCTTTTATTAATTTTTAAAAGTACGAAAAGAAATTGGTAAGAAAATTGTGGAAGATGAAGATTGCTTGGTTTTATTTGGAAGAAATAGGAAAATGAATGACAGATGATAAAGCTATGTATGGTAGATGTTTATATTTTTACTTTCTCGATTAGTTTCCGAGATCTTTTATTGGTTTTTAATCATGCGTTTGTAGTAAACCATGTCGGTAACATTCTGTTTTGCATATAACTTGCACGCTCAATCATGTGCAATCGGCGATTCTCAATGGCATTGAATATCATCTTCCGTTATACAAATGTTTCATTTATATGTCTATTCTTTAACCCTTGAACGGTATCCACATATCTTCACACAAACGGTTAATGTGGGTCCCTCGGGATCCACTTGAAAATAAGTTAGATATACTTGATTTTTATTACTTATGGAGTAGATACACTCTATTTTACCCAATACTATAGTTTTGATTAAAGTTAGAATATATCAGTATGTTTTTTTATGTGTAAAAACGGTGGCGTTTTAAAAAATAGAGATTGTGAGAAGATTATCATTTTAAAATGTGACTGAATGAACTATGTATATGATTGCAATATGCATCAATAAATATCTTTGTATATGTTCATATTTCATGTGCGATCTCATACATTAGAACTAAAAAAACCGCGTTCTGTTATTCTTAATCATTGATAAAAAATATGATCAATATCATGCTTAAAACTGTGGTCATAAAGTGGTATCACTGCACTTTTATGTTGTTGAATTATTTTTCGGCACAAGAGTGACAGATAACACTTATGAAATTAGATGAATGCGATCTGCAGGCATTATTCTTGCATATGTCGCAAACTTGTTGTACTTTACGATCAGGATGCGTCGGACACATGTAACACCGTCGTTTTCTCCTAATAGAACTCTCCATAAGTACCTGATTGGTTGATGGGACCGGCTTTAATGCAAAATCAAGGGATTGTAATGCAAGTTTTACTTTTGATGAATGGCCAGATTATTCACTGCGACGTGTATTATGAACATTGGTTAACAATTTTCCCAACTCTTTCAAGAAAAGACGTCGAACACGTGTTTGATTATTATGCAAATCTGGATTTCTACACAACCATAATGTCATTGCATTGATTGCTCCAATGTCGATTAAATTAAAAAAAATACAAGCATCGGCCATCTTCTACTAATTCTCCGAACTGTATAAGTACTAATGCATTGGCCCATCACATCCACACCAAACTTTGTTTGACTGCAATCATGTATCATAACAGGAAGCGTCTTCTCATCATCGAACACCTCAGGAATAGTGTGTGTGGTAGATAGCAAAATAATTGGTGTTTTTTCTGTTTTGCTTAATAAGACACTAGTGCACTTCCACCGGAAAAGAAAAACAAAGAAGAATAAAGATCATTTCGAACAAGTTTTAATTCGTTAAGGACAAAAGAACGTTTATGATCGACAACACCTATTGAACTCATTTTTCTATCAAGTAACGCATTCGCCAAATCCAGACTAGTAAAATATCGGTCGTAACTGACGTTACGACCTTGTTTAACTTGATCAAGCAATTATCAATCAAGCGTAAAACAACATTTGTAGAAAGGTTTCGTTGAACCACATTGTTTACTTTACCAGCATATATTTCTAATGCTTAAGTGTACCTAACAACAACATCACATAAGAGCCAAAATTTAATTTCGTATTTACTTGGTTTGCTTGATATATATATATATATATATTGTACAAATGAACATCGACCACGAAATGAAATTAGTTGTTCATTAACTGTCATGTTATCACCTGAAATAAAATGTCGAGGTAATTAATTGGTGAAAGATTCAACAATGCATCGAATTGGGGCCAGTCGATAAGATTGGTCACGTTCGACGCGATCATCAAATCGTAAAAATCTCAAAAGATTCTGAAATCGTCTTAATTTCATCGTAGCACAATATAAAGGACAGTTTTTGCTAATATCCTATAGTTCATCAATGGAGCGATGACCCATATTGGCAGCACTAGCTTGAATAAGCGGACCGATGAATGCTTCTAATTCAATACGATCGATTTCTTTCCAGTGAGTAAATTTCGGTTTATAAACACCTTTATTTAGTCGGCTTTGGCTTCGTTGATTGTAATATTTCCGTGCATAATTATTTGCATGTAATACGATTATATCTAATATTTCATCTGTTAGAAAGAGCTTGAATGCATCAACCATTGTATGAACAAACGTAACAGGACCTGATTTCTTCTTTATTATGTTGATGGCACGAAGACGACCGTGGCTTGAGTCGCATTCTTTTGCCCATCGACTCCCGTTTCTTCCAATGAATCAGGTTGAATGTTAGTATTTATATCATGATCAGCAGTATTCGAATCAGACGAGTCATCACCTTTCGAAATATATTCATCAGCGGATGTGTCATCGGATTCTGTTCCAGATGCACAATAATCAGGATCAGGATCAGAATTCGATTCACCATCCTCAGAAATAGCGTTATCAAGATTATCATTGTCATTCCTAAGATAAATCTCTCGGATCCTTTTGAGATTTGTTTTATTGGTCATTTTTCTCTGAAAATCAAGAAATTATTGAGTTCTGCATGTAGACACTCACTACAACACTTAGATTAATTGATTTCAGTATAAAAATTTTCAACGCAAATGTCACAGTCACATAGTGTGTGGAGAAAAGCGTTTAAGATACCAAATGGTTTGCTATTGGTAACATTATACGAACCAATTAGAATTGAATAATCCTGAAAAAAGTAGATGGCTGGCGTAATATGCATGAAAATCACTTACATAACATGAAAGTCACTAGGAGATCCATTCACACCCACAATTCAGTTTTGTAATCGTAAGGCTTTAATGAGAAATTTAATATGGCAAATATCCGTTATCAGACGACTAACAATTAGCAGAGAGATGGGCCCGAAATGGATATGCCTTCGTGTAGAAAAATTAAAAAAACAGTGATGTGGGTCTTTTCGGGCCCGCAAATACAGTACAAGGGTTAAAAGAAATTATTCTCTTCGTTTTGTACAGTTGTATTTATGTTTTCAGTTGTTCTACGTTTGGTAAGAATGACTTGATTAAGCACACACATATTTAAATTGCTGATAATTTCGATTTAATATTTGGTAGAATCTTGGACAAGCTTTCTATCAATATAGAAAAGTGCCGCACTGTAAGAGGGCGTGGCAAATCTCGAATTGTAACCAGTTTTCAGCAAATTTCTACCTTTGAATTCTGCATATTCCGTAGAAATCTACTCTCACACTCTGCACTATTAACACTAGCAATAAGAGTGTCATTGGTAAATACCAAAGTAGAAGTCAGAAATCTACTGTCATACCTCTATCAATTGTGACAGCAGAAAAATAGAAATGAGAAATCTACTTCTCTATTTTCATCCACATCTGCACTATCACCCGCACCTTCACCCTTACTCTAAGTTATTGCCATGAAAATTTTCACAAATACATAGAAGTAAATTTCTGATTTTTGCTTTTCTGATGAAATATAAAATGATGCCTAATGCTGATTATAGTAATCCAAATTCCCGTGAATATTTCTAAATTATAGAAGTTTTCAAAATTTTCAAGATTTAAAATTCTAAATCATTTTGACATGCGGATTTTAAAATTGGTATCAATTTTATATTTGCCACCCTATGAGTTTTATATATTCATGTTGCTTGGTTATTAAAAGAATTGTCAAATTGACATTAGAAATTTATGTCAAGGCGTAAACAGAGATGAAATGACTAAATATAAGTTTATTCGTTGAACATATTATGCTTCATTAGAAAATAAGTATAAAAGAACTATGGTTTAGAAAAATAATCTGTTTTTGATTCAAGAAAAGTCTGAAAACATCTGACGAAAATAACATCGTTTGTATTATCTGGATCAAGCGAAGAACGACGCTCATTGATTTTGGAATCAGCACAAGAAAACTATTATTCCACTCCACTTGATGTTACCGGAACTGAAAGCAGACGACGAGCAAATAAAGCTAAAGTCAAAAAATTTATTTCGATGATCACTGCGAAATGGCAATGGATTTAACTGTTTCTATTTATCTGCTACATTCATTCTCAGATGTTTTTCAAGTTCCACATTTTAATTCTTGTTGAGGATAATGAACAAACACCGTTGCTATATGTAACGATAATGATATCGTTCATCTCTTCCTGTTCTTTATTCTCTCACTCTATATCATACTTCCTCTGGGTCATCTCTCACTTTCTCTTCTCTATATAAGCGTGTGTCTTGTTGTGAAATATAGGCACACTCTGGTCATTGGTCATGTTGAGTTGTGAATAAACGTCTATACCTTGAGAAGCGATTAGCTACTCAACCAGTTCGTCGTTACACTATCACCCGTATCCGGATCAGGTAATTGATCCTTCATAAGTTTATGTCTTTTGTTCAAAGATTCTGAATTTAGCGTCACATTATTTTCACTCAATCCGAACATATCGTTTAATTGTTCTCGAATATAAATAAAGTATATTTTTAGAATTTGATGTGACAAATATTAGTTTTATGTAAAGCGAATATAATAGCGCTGCGGTAAAGTGCTTTTCAGCGAAGGTAAAGTTAGATTTTAATAATTGAATTAGACGTTTTTCGAAAGAATTCTGCACCAATACGAGGATAATTACAAATTATATATTGCATTCATTACTTCTTATTACATTAATGTCGATCATCAATACATATTAATTTATCATCTTTATCAACATCAGCTCCTATTGAATGACCCTTAAATCTATTAATGCACACATAGGCTTGTCCGCGTAACGCAACAATTCATACGTTAAGTATTTTGTATAAAGCAAAAAGTTAGCCCATACTCTGTAAAGCAAAACGTTTCATACAAATCTTTTTTCAGTACCATTCCCATATCCTTCTTTAGTTTTACCAAAATATTTAGAACATTAAATGGTTTTAGTCAAATGTGTTGAAATAGAACGACAAAAGGTTTTAGCGAGAATCTAAAGCATTTTATGGTTGACTATCGCCCGGTTTTCTTTTAGAGAGTACTGTTGTTTCCTGTATAAAACAAATGAAACATTGAAAATACATAGTCTGCTATGAGTCAATCTATTCTGCGTCACACAACAACGATCATTTTCACTGTCAGCTGTAAAATGGCGACGAAACATACACTAACTCTATCTGAAAATAATATTCTTTATACACGCTGGTCAACAGAGTCTCCGATTAGAGAGAGGCTGCGAGGGTCCAACTCATTCCAAAATCAAAATTGTTTCTGCCGATTTTTCCAAATGGTTTTCATATTTTTCAACTTTTAATTTTAATAAAAATATATAATATATAATTTTCTTTTTATAAAATAGTGACGATTGTGTTAATTTTTGATCAAACAGTATGTTTATTGGAATAAGACTTTCTCTCGCTAATTCTACCAAAAAGTTTAGGATCTTCTCTTAAATCATGAATTTTTCGATACGGTATACATTGTTGAGACGTAGATTAATCAATTTATATCACATAATATCGTTAATGCATTCGTTTCATGACGTTATATGCATACCAGCTTGTACGCATAACGTGGCACTTCACTATCATTAATCATTATTATCATGTTGTAGAACACAGTCGAAAACATTAAAAAAACTCATTTTCTAATGCGATTTCTTATAGAAAATCGTGAATGATAACTGGAGACAAATATGTCACTAACAGAGGAGGGCAGAAGTGCATTTATCGTGTATGTGTCTGTACGTTGCATCAACTTCATGTATCCGAAGTTACTCTTTATCAGATAATAATACTTTAATAAAGGTATCTTTACGTCAACCAATTTGTTTCCTATATCATGCTATCTGCCTTAACGGCGCTCTTCAAAACTCCTATATTTCCGACGTCATCGCGTTACGAAAAATCGTGTATTATTCTCTCAGCCATTAAGCATTGAAAGTTTTTTTTCTAAAACTTCGACACACACAGCTCACTATTTATGGGCTATCCAATGGAAAAACTTCTATTGAAGATAAGTTGCCATTCGAACAATGCAACATAACGCGAAGACGAATTTTGACGCTTTCATCGTTTTCTATTCGTGACATTCAATTGCTTCAATCATATCTTTCGATAGGAGCAAGGAATATGTCTGATATTTTCACAATAAACTACTCTTATTAGGATCTCTCTCTGTAAAAAATTTCAAATCGAAACTCGAAAATGAATTTTTCTGATATTCATGAGGGAGATCACGGCAATGAGCTATTTCAATGTTTTCAAACACGGTATCACAACAAAGAGAACTTAAGCATGACTTTTTTGAAGACATTCGTCTATACTGTGAGTCCTACCTGGAGGCAAATTATGGGCTCAAATAGACGATGTTTTCGAAGAAGTTCCTCAATCCATCGCTTTAGTGCATAAGCTTAATGAAAATGAATGAAGGGAATCAATGGCACCACATTTTGAAAAATGAAACCACCTTATGAGAGAATGCTTTCCTTGATAGATTCATCTGGTTTCTATTCTAGAATTTGTTTACATTCTCCCATCCTAATGCACGACTTGGTAATGAAAAACGGTTATAAAGTCAAGTGGCTAGAACCTACTATATCAGCCCACTCAAAACAAAGCTTTTAGATAGATAAGTTGTACTTTCTGAAAAATTTTCTCGTTTAGAAAGTTCAAAATGTGCTTCTTCTACGAAACCAAAGACAGATTCACTGTCAACGTGAAAAATTACATTTTGAAGCGCATTCAAGTATTCTTCACCAAAAAATTTTATTTTCGAAACTTGACAAGCGGGGATGTTATTTCATGTGGCTGTATCGACTTTCTTTTGAGCACACAGAAAGAACCAACTATATGGTAACAGATGTCTTTCTTCATTCGTTACTTTTTACTGTATTGACTTAAAACACATAGCTCTGAAATTAGATCAACTTATAGAGTTGTAATTAGCAGATGTTATTTTATTTTGTGGATGAAAAAGCCATACAACTAAGTCGTGATTTAGCAGCTCTTTCGTCTCTCTACTCCTTTCTCACTATTAGGAGCATTTTTCATCAAGTATTTTATCATATACAAAAATTAATAGATGGAGAGAAACAGAGGTGATCATTCATCTGTGTCCTTTCCAATCGTTGGGCATTGACGTCAAAGATATATCTATACGTACATACCTGTATTTTTTTCTCTACACGTATTCGAAGGCTGCATTCGATTTTAACACACACACGAACAAAAGTAATACGATAGATACACAAAATTTGTCCTTGGTAAAAAATACTAAATATCAACATCGTTTTATATTGCTCTAACGAAACAAGTTGATCGCTCGAAGTCGATCATTGATCGACGCTACCAGCGTGACAGTGCAAATGGAACCTGTATTATTTGTCAACTAGTTCTTCAAGAGTCAGTTAATATCAAGAATGCTCAAACGTCTCACCAACGTTAAATACCAACAACGATGCTAAATCTGCTTCGGGAAGAATGCAAACTTCAGAGACGATAACTGTATCACAGTACTTAATTCAACTACATATGAAAGCGCCTCCACCCTATTAC